ACACCTCGAGTCCGAAGACACGACAACCTCGGTCTGTTATGCGAGCCCGAGAGGGGATATTAAATCTCAGGTCGCCATTCCCGGCCCTCGCAACTCCGCAACCCCACAACCCCACAACCCCTCCTCCTCGACACAGATCTGCATGTGCACATGTGCCCGGGCCAGTCACATTCGCTGCTTCGTGTAGGCGGAGGCATCGCCTCCGTCACCAGCTGTCGGCTGGCGTGAATTGCCTTCAGACAATCTACAGCCCATTCCTGCGTTCGCCCGATTGTATCTGACGCCTTGACAGACCGGATAGAGATGCGCCGAGTCGAGGGCATCCGAAAACCATGACGACGGACGCATCCGTTAAGTGGTAGACAGACCAGTTGGCACGACAACAAATGGCTTCCCCAACTGGTAAGTTGATAGCGGCTAAACTGATCCAAATAACTCTATATCCATATATATATATATATATATATATATATGTGTGTGTGTGTATGTGTGTCCTTGGATGTAGATGCATAGATAGACATTGAGGAGTCTTCACTGATGGGGATGGTATAACAACAAAAAGGTGGATAGATAGACGAAAAGGGTGAGTGAGGGATAGATGAATACGCATAGAAGGTATGAGGGAAGGAGCTCGTAAATGGTTTGTTCTCAAGCCTTACTGCGTCTGGTGGGTTGGGTGCGGGAAGTGTGTCTTGAGCCTCACTCTTTTATGTGTCCTCGCTCCTGTACGTCGCTCTCTGTACCTTTAACCGTGCGCGTGGGAAAATCTCCAATCGCTCGGTTGGGCATATTTTCTCGGCATTCTGTGGGCAGCTTGCTTCTGCAGCCACGCTGTTTTCGCCTCTGCTCGCAATCCCGTCCCATCCCCCGGCGTCTGTATGGGGACTGGCCGAAAAGGCTTGTTGTCCTCTCGTTTCCTTGATCCGGACGCCGGACGCCAGAAATCCTCATCGTTTTGAAGGTAGGGAGAGGGGCAAACGAGTGTTGATTTGGTGGCGAGGTTTGTTTTTCCAAGAGGATGCGTTTCGAAAGAGGACTTAAGGGGGTGAAAAGTGACGAAATGTGAATTTTTTAGCAAGAAATGACTAAAATGTCATTGAAATTCCCGTAGTTTTGCTTCCCGACAAGCCATCCCGTTCAGACTGTACTGCAGTTCCGAACTCGTCCAAGTCTCATCAGCATCCCCGGACGGGACTCGAACCCGGTTAGAGCCCGGTTGGGAGCACACTTTTGGGGGCAAGGTTGAGTGAAGGTCAATTGCATTCTGTTGATTGTGGGAAAATTCACTATCCGCCTTCATTTCTTCGACAGTCTCTTAAGTCGAATCGCTGTTTTGTTGGTACTGTAAGTTGAGCGTGAAAGACCTCGGTGCACCGACCTCGACTCTGATGCATCTGGGCTGGAGTTTAATCTGTGCCGCCCTGAAAGACATCGTCAGCTCGTGTACATGAAGACCAATCTGGTGTGGCCTTCGGTTTGGTCGCATTCTTCTTCATTTGCATAGACTTGGCTTGAACTCGTTTTCGCAACTTGGTCGGGGCATCAGGGTCACCTGGTGGAACATACCTCCTCCTGCATGCTCTGCAAGAAGTATCATGTTGATTTCCAGCATCGGATAGGTGACTTGGTACATTGCCAGACGTTTTGCTAACACCGTCCGTCAAAAGCAACATCTTTCGTTTGACTGA